AAAACCCAACTAATCTTTTCATTCTTTCGATTGGGAATATTCAACGTTCAACTACTCTTGGATACTGTAATATAAACACACAGGAAGACGAAGAAGTGGCATTTATCGGGCAGAGAAGCGGCGAGCCATTAAAATGGCGGCAATTTGACGAAATATCGAAGGACACGATATCGAAGATAAAATACACTGCACTGTTTCAAAACGTCATGAAATTTTGTTGAAATCTTCTTTAGCCATCTATCATTATGTGAAAGTACAACAATTGGATGATGTGCGCGAGATTCGGCGATAAAAAGCAAGCAAGACGACAAAATATGGCTGAAATCGTGTTTTCGTGGGGGGTGAGTGAATTAAAATGTATTATATTTACAGAAAAGAAGGACAGTCCTTATGAAAACTACAATAATTATATTATATTAAGCATAGTTTTTCATCCCATGTTTATTTTTTTTAGGAAATAAGACCATTAAATTTCTGCCAGGCATATTAGTTATTTTGTGCATAATCAGCAATTTACCTGGGGTGGTGCATAGTCATTTTCTGGTAAAACATTATACTTAGACAAATTTTTCCTTCCAATGACCACCCCTAAAAGCAACCCTTCTAAACACTATAAGCACTTCAGAAAGGCTATCGCTTTTCCTTTTTGGAAGTTAGAGCTATGTCGACACTGCCGTTTCAGGGCGGGTCATTTTCAGGACTTTCGTCCCGGATTCAGGTTTTCGCACATATGCCATGTTGACCGCCATGGTCATTTTACCCTAAAACAGTTGAGATTACCTGTGGTAAATGAAACGCATACAAACTCCTATACAGGTCCTAGACTATATTGAAAAGTCTCTGCACAAATTTTTTTTTTCAAACTTTTTTGGTGCACAAGTTTTTTTTTCTTTCTGTTTCCCTTGCGTGATTTTTATTTTTGCTTTTTCCCCACCTCCCCCCCATCACTTATCTAATGGTCCGCCCCTTACCGAGAAGCCCCACCTAACTATGGCCGCACTATTATTATTAATTTTGTTTTGTAAGCAAGAATCAAATACGTTGTAATGTTGCTAAAGCAAGGCTTTTTCTGCATATAAATGAACAAAAACAACAAGCTGATGAAAATTTAGAAATATTCGTCGCACCAAGCGCCAGTCGTGTTTGTATACGGCATTTAACACAAAAATTTTCGGCAAGAACTCAGAAATAACAACTTTTTTCGACAACTTAAACAATTCTAGACCTTAGTAGTATTTTAAGTTACTTGATGGACATTTAATTTACTTTAATAAAGTTCGAAAATCGCCCATAAAGCGAACCACGTGCAAAGCAAAAGCACAAACTTTATGTCGAAATATCGCATTAAATTCGGGTTCGTGATCCTAAATTTCCATCTATATTGGCAATCTAAGTACTCTACTACATGGATTGATATTAAATAAAGCATATTACCTTCCAATAAAGGTAAGTTTGATAAAAAATGTCCTCCATTTTTTCTTCCTTGCTTCTCCACATTTCTTCGCCACGCGGTAAAAAAATTTAAAATTCGGAAATGCCCGGCACTCCGTCGTGATCTCGTCACTGTACGATGCCAGTCGACAAATTCCGAGCTATTTTAAAATGACAGGGGGGTTTGGGCTACTTTATTTCTGATAGGGAACGGGAAATGCGGGAATGGGCGAATGCGGATTAGCGGGAATAGGGAAATGCGAGAATGCTGTCGTTTCAGAGTATATTCTTTTAACTCGTACTCGTGTTTTTAGTGATTTTCTCAACTGTTAAGCACTGACAAAAAAACCTTAAATTAATTAAAATATCGGTTACGTCACGACTCAAGCCTTTGTTTCATATTACAGTATTTAATATGATCTAGTATTGTACTATTAAACCAAACAAAGTATAAAAATAAGTTTTTATCAGGCAATGTACAGTGGAGACCTGAATTATTGATTAAATCCATCTATTAAATGATTAATACATATGATTAAATCCATCTAATTGGTTTATTTTTGTCACGTGATGCTTTCATACTTTTAGTATAAAAGCCCGTGCATTTTCCCGGACCCTGCTACTTTGACCCCTATTTCTCTTCTGTGCTTTGACAAAGGGCCGTCGCTCGAAACGTCGAGTTTTTGCTTGTTTTTTTAAGGTAGTAATATAACCACTCAGCGCAGCAAAAACTAATAGACCATTTCCGGCCATTTCCGAATTACGCTATAGAAAAACACAAGGTTGAGGCTCACAGTGACACAGCCGTAATTTTTCTTTTCAAGTTAAAATATTTAGATTAATCTCAACGCTAAACGGGTTTTCTACAAACAGCCACTGACAATTAGAGTATATATATAATCTCTATAATTGTATACTAAACAACAAAACTAAAAATGTATAGCTAATTATGATAATTACTATTAATTTAGGAGAAAACACTGTTTAGTACTTGAACCAAGTCTACCTTCTATCTTTTTTCATCCAAATTAAAGGACTCAGCCGAACTCCCAAACGAGACTTTGGACGTGTTCTAACTTGAAAAGTTGTGGGAATTCTGGTTGAACCACAAGGTTCTCCCATTGAAACTCGAATCAGTATTTCACCCGGATGCATATGCATCACGCTTTCAACAGGTCTCCACTGACTGTATATAGCCTGTAAAAACTTATTTCTATACTTTGTTTGGTGTAATTATGTTAATACAATATGTATATACTAGATTATTCTTGTCAAACGAACTTGCAAGGATACCCACGACCAAAGAGTGAGAAAATTACTATTCTGCGCTCTCGTGAGGCCCATTCTAGAATATGCCAGCAGCTTATGGTCACCTTATACCATCAAGCATAAGAGACTGGTCGAAAATGTCCAGCGGAGGGCAACAAAGTTTATTCTTGACTATCCACAGGACCTAACGTATGCCGACAGACTCGCGAAGATCAAGATTCTCCCTCTTGAGTTCAGAAGAGATATCTCAGACATATGCCTACTTTTTAAATCTAGAACTGGAGCAATTACTACTGATGTGAACAAATATATATGTACTTTTGAACCTGGATACCAATCAAGAAATTATGATAAAAACAACTATAATCTTATAATTAAACACAAGCAGGACTATTTTAGAAATTCTTTTTTCATTAGAACGGTTGAACTATGGAACACTCTACCGTCTCTTGTCAAATCCTCCAATTCTTTAAGTATTTTCAAGTCTCATCTTCATAAGTTGTATTCTACTAAGTTATCGCATTACGTACCTCCGGGCACTGCGTGATCAGCGTCTACACATTGCGATTTGTTTGAACCATCATCCGGCCATTCTCATATTTACAAATATGTTATAAATTGACTCGTGATTTCCAAATTGATTTTGAATAATTCATAATAGTAATCTGCATAGTGGGCAAGTCGCAGTGTGTAAACGTTCAGTACTTTTATAGTCACGATTCAAACCTTAGCTAGTATAAGTTGTTATAACTAATGTGTTATAACCTGTTCTTTATCTTTATTTATATTTAACGTCTTTTTAGGGGTTAGGTGTCAATTGGGACGAGAGTCCTGTTCCTTTCCCCTGTCACGATTTGTATCTGTTTTTATTTGTCTTTAATTAATTAGTTTGTATCGTGTATAAAGTGACAAATTCATTATATTATATATTATATTATATTATATTATATTATATTATATTAAATATATGAAACAAAGGCTTGAGTCATGACCTATTCTCTTTAACAAACGGATATTATAAGATATGATTTCAAGGGTTTTTTATCAGTATATGCTTTGATTAATTTGATAATTGAGAAATCACTCAAAATACGAATATACTCTGAAACAACAAAAGACGTTCATGGCATACGTTTTATGCGTGTCATAAGTTAATGAAGTTATATAATAGCATTCCCCCAATCCCGAAATTCATCATCTTAACATCCCACTTCTAGGTATATGAAAGTGTTAGTCGCTAACCGTAGCCGTAACACAAAAACTAAACTTTACCCCATTTTGAAAAAGGGGTAAAAGTGGCAAAAAAACAAAAGGCTAACCCCTTAACTTTTCAGCCAATATTAACCACTTTTTGATTTTGAAAAAGGGGCAAAAACTAAAGGCTAACCCTTAACTATTCATCCATTTTTAGCCACTTTTTTATTTTTAATCTAAACGCATGAAATGTATAGTTAGTTAGTTAGTTAGTTAGTTAGTTAGTTAGTTAGTTAGTTAGTTAGTTAGTTAGTTAGTTAGTTAGTTAGTTAGTTAGTTAGTTAGTTAGTTAGTTAGTTAGTTAGTTAGTTAGTTAGTTAGTTAGACGAAAACACTGTTCCACATTCTATAATTTGGATGAAAAGACGGGTGGAACAGTGGTAAAAAATGACCAAAATATCAAGGGGCTACTTCTTGTCCAATTTTGGTCAAATTGGGAAAAAGTAAAGGTTAACGTGTTAAAATTGGAGGTAAAAATAAAACATATTACAGTCTATGTTTGGCGAATAATAACTATATTATATACATGTCTGCTTACTGAGGTACATATGGATTATTATATCCCGCAATATTCATATGTTGTTGCATAGGGTTGTATTGATCATAGGATGCCGCGGCTTGCTGATAACCGACCATGCCTGATTGACCTGCAAGTCCTGGATTTCCCGTATATGGTTGGTTCATCTGTTGTTGGTGATGCGCTGACTGGGATGGGTGCATTTGTACGGGTGGTCTGTTGTAACCCATACCAACACCTTGTTGCATCATAAACTGTTGTCCTTGTTGTTGCATGCGTGTTGGATGCACGTTAGGCATGTAATTTTGTTGTTGTCCTTGCATGATAGTCTGCCCTGTCGCGGCCAGGCTCGGCGCCATCATTTGATTAACATTTCCTGGGTACCCTGGTGCAGGTGGTGAGGAAGCATCCAAAGACTGTGAGCTCATATTGACATTTCCACCTACAAAAAACCAGCATTGTTTCACTGAATGAAATGGTTTTCAACAATTTTCAGAAAGTTTAGAGTACATCGAGGCATTTCGTTGAGGCATTTTTTAATTTTTAAAAAAATTCCTGTGATCCTCCCATGGCATTTTACCAAAATTTTCCAAATTTTTTGAAACTATAACTGTTTTGATGAGAGAAATGGTTTTCGACAATTATCAGAAAGTTTGAAATGGGTTGGGGCTCTTTATGAATTTTTAAAAAATTTCCTGTGGTTGCCCCTTTATTCACCCTAGGGATGCCTGTGGTCCCCCGTTTGCATTTTTGCTGAAATTTTTCAACAAATTTTTAGCAGTTAAGACTAACTGTTTTGGCAATGGAAATGATTTTCAACAATTGTCAGAAAATGATTTTCAACAATTGTCAGAAAGTTTGAAGTGGGTTGGGGCTCTTTATGAATTTTTAAAAAAATTATTATTTATCTCATTGATCAGGATTTTTTATCTCATTGATCAGGATCAGGATTGGCTCTTGTGCATTCCTACTTGGACATAGGCGTAGAGTATGGGGGGTTGGGTCCTAAATCTTGCAGGGTCTTAGCCCCGAGGCCTTTGCAGAACTAATAGCTGTAATGTTGTTGTTGTTTTTGTGCTAATACTGTTTGGTATGAAAATTGAGGTAAGTACCGGAGCAATTGCAATGTACTTGTCAATTTTTACCTAAAGGGGGAAGGTTGTTGTCCGAAAAAAAAATTTTCAGCCCCCCAAGACAAAACAAAAACTCTACGCCTATGTACTTGGATATAAGTTTTATCATTACTCACCATATACATTGCTAGTACCATCACCAGAAGCAGTGGTCATTGGTGCTGGTGAGGTGTGTATACCACTGGTCATCTGTGATACAGTGGATGAGATGACTTGTGATGTCATGGGTATTCCTGCTGAACTTTGATCCATGGATATACCTGCTTGTCCCTTCCTGTCCTGTAGATTTCCAGGTACATTATTTGAGGGTACTCCCATGGCAGAAGATGCAGGTGTAATATTAGACACCTGGTTTGACGTAGGAGGCTGAAAAACAGATTTTGCACAATTAGATGTTAATTTATTAACCCATTGAGTTGAATTGCACTGCAATGTGCCTTTATTATTTTATGAAATAAGTGATACTACTTAATGACACATACAGGTGGCAACATTGCTTGAATATTTTGAGTTGAGTCAGCAAGACTGGCCAGATACATCAGATTCTTGTGAAGAAGCTGTTGATACCTAAAACAAGTGAAAACAATGTCAACATTTTAAATAAACACATTTAGTGTTTGGCTGTTTGCTGGACAATTAGCAAAAGGTTTATGGCTCTGCTATACATCACAAGAAATTGCACGGAATCAGTTTAGATTATAATGGTCAGCAATCAGCTATTTGTCAAATAGAAACAAAATGTATGTTATTACAGTAATTCCCAAGTACATTTTTCAGTTGCATGCTTTTCCAAAAATTATGCAATCATGTTATGCAATCACGCAAAAAGTATGTTAATCATGTGGGAAATGATCGGCAAAAGCTATCAATGCCATATTGAAAAGCTGGCGGAGTATAATTGCATAGTTGATTGGATATTAGTTGATATTATTATGAAAAACTGCACCACATAACAAAGCCCTCATACTTACTGAACACACTCAGCAGCCTTCCCCTTGTTTTGGTAGTCCACAATAGCCTAAAACAAAAACTTATAATATTAATTAACTAATTAATAATTAATTAACCACTGCCAATTAATTGATTTAATAACTAATTAACCACCAGTAATTAATAGATTATCTAATAGATTAATTACTTGAATTAATACCATTAATTGATTCATTACTAATCAATATAATTAATTAATTAATAGCATTAATTAATAAAATTAACTAATTCAAACTATTATTTATACAACAAATCGAGAAATAAAAATTTGAGATTTATTTTATATAGTGAGAATATTTTACCTGAATAAGTTGTGCATTCTCATCAAGTAACTGTGGAAAAACAATCATAGTATTTAGTAAAATAAAAAGGCTCGATTCACAAGATGACAAGGGCATGATAAAAATCAGTGATCAGATGAATTAAAGTTTGCCTGTGTTGATTATTAAATACCTTCTGGACACTATGTGGGTTGCCTCTTACTCGATTATTCCCCCACGACATCGCCAGTCCCCTGTTTAAAAAACTTCCTTTTCGAAATCTACATTAAATACTCACGAAAAGCGAGGCAAAAAGTTTTGATATTAAAAATTCATATTTTTGAAATTTTGACTTTTGTGTTATTATCGAGCCCACATCACAAAATAGTCAGCACCAATTACATACTTCATGTAATTCTCATTTCAAAACATCACATCAAACAAAGAATCAGGGGGGTGACTAGATATTTTTCATAATATTTTGCCAATATTTTCAAGCATTTTAAAAGTTTTTGAACATATTTAGCTCCACAAAATAATCGCTGAAACTTCCAAAACTTAATAGTTAATAGCAATAAACCAGAATTCTCTTACAGGATAATCTATTTCTTATTTTCTTTCAAATTTTGTAAATTTCAAAACGCAAAAATGCGCGAATGCACCCTCCGGAAATATGATAAATATCAATGCAAAAAATGGCGTACACCCAGCGACAATCAAGTAGTAGCGGGCAATCTCTTATTTCTAAAAGCAAACCGAAAATTGGAGTTGGTTCTATCGTCTGCAAAGAAGCAGAAATTCGTGGGGAGGTTATAATTGGTTCAAAAACAGTCATCCATCCAAAAGCACGCATATTGGCTGTACGTGGTCCCATAAGAATTGGGGATGGCAATTTAATTGAAGAACAAACGTGCATTATAAATCAAGGTGATATTAATGATGAAGGTGATTCTACTGTCATGGAAATCGGGAATAATAATTTCTTCGAAGTTGGCAGTCATTGCGAAGCGATAAAAGTCGGCAATAATAATATTTTGGAGTGCAAGTCGAAAGTTGGCCAACAAGTTATTTTGGGCGATGGATGTGTGATTGGTGCTTGTTGTGAACTGACGACCAATGAAACTCTACCGGATAATACGGTGGTGTTTGGCAAAGACTGTCAGCGGAGGATGCAGTCTGAACGACCACTCGCGCAAACGTTGCAACTAGATTTCTTAACCAAAGTGCTGCCTAATTATCATCACTTGCAGAAGAGTTCAAGAAATTAGATGACCTTTACTAATTAGGCCATACTGAAAGTGTAAATGGATATAATATTTAATTTATATATACAGAATATCATTGTAATAGGTTGTAACAATTTTTTTAAATATAATCATTCAATTAATCTTCTCTGGTGTCTAGTCTTATATTCAAAGCAAACTAATTCCCAACAGCTTGTTTATAAACTTGTAAATATATTTCTTCTGAAATCTTGTTGTGGATCATTCATCAATAGTTTTTTTCTGAAGTTTTGTAATAAACATGCTTACGTACAGAGATACACAAACTAAAATGGCAGGTTATCTGTTTTAATCCAGAGTTAGCACTAATCCAGCTAATTTTTATTCTCATCTACGAATGCCATAGATGCAGGCTCGCCCTTACCCCCCCCCCCCCATTTTTGGCACTTTGTTATCGGCAACACTTCGTATTTCTCCGTACTGAGATCGGAAAATTGTTGCTACGCAAATACGTTACGGTTTAGCGCATCTCCAGCTTTTGAAACAAAACAAACAAGAAATATGAAAATATCAACATATAAAACCACTGTTTTCATCAACTTTTTCCAACTATTTTCAAAAACTGATGGTTGAGGATGGAAACCATTTCACCAGGAGTACATGGGAATCATTCTGTGACATGGGAACATCAAGATCTTGCCCAGGTAAGAGGTAACCAGGTTTAAATGTTTATTTATTTTTTATTTATTTTCTATTTATTTATTTATTATTATTCGCCCAAATCACATCAAAATTAACAATTAAGATAGAAAATATTTACAAATAGTAGGGCTAGGAACCTTCTAGAAACCAAAAGGCTTTTATATTCAATACACCTTATTAAATGATGTAAAAAGTGGGAATATCTTACTGACAGCTCACTGACACAGTACTGATATTTGCAAGCATTTTCCACTGACAAAATGGGCATTTACTGATAAAAACATGCAAAATATTTTTTCAGCTAGTAATTTTGACTCTAATTACGTGCCAAACTTTGAGTTTATTTTGTAGGCTCATATTGTAGGCTTCATTAATTTATTTTTCTGCCAGGTGAAAATAAAAGTTCTTCGAGGTCACTTGGACAGTGTGAATTCTTGTCAATTTTTTGAAAATGACACTCGTGTTTTATCGTCATCAAATGATCAAACAGTTCGAATTTGGGTGAGAGTCTGAAATGTTGATTAACCTGTTAACGACTTAACAGGCAGGTATAAAAGTTGGACTGGATTGCTAGTTGGACTGGACCCTAACTTAACCCCAAACCTAACCTGAACTAGCAAACCGGGCAACTTTTATACTTGCATGACTCAGAGTTATGGAGTTTGGGAGCAGTATAACTTAAGCAATCTGTCCTGTTATTAATGCCCAGCACTCTTCCCTCCCCCATAAAATAGGTTGTTGCAATATATATTGATAATCACATTTTGAAAAATATATTGATATACAAAAATATAATGATAATCAGTGCTATAAAATAATTTTACTTGAACCAGGCAACTGAGTCAGGGAAGCAGTTATGCACATACGATGGGCACACTTCATTTGTGACAAGCTGTCATGTTGATATGTTGAATAAAAGGTGAATGTTTGGTAATTGTAGTAGGTTAATTAATTATTTTATGCCAAACAATGCAGTTTCCTGCAGTATTAGGAAGACACATCCTAATTAGATCAAGTGCAAACTCTGTTTCATTAGAATGGTATCAGGAGGATGGGACAAACGTATGCTTGTCAGAGATGTGACAACTGGACAAATTTTGGTAATTTCATAATCACTAAATATATATACAAATGGGAAAACAGAGCCATAAAAACAATGTACTAATTTATAGGCAGGAGCAAAACAGCTATCTAGACCATCCTATAATCCCTTGATGAAAAAAGAGTCATGACTATCAACATTTTCACAAGCATAAGAGAATACTCCTTTTTGAGGATTTGCAATCTCTAGATTGTCAGAAATGGCATTCTCAGAGTCTTCTCTACCTCTCTTTTCTTAGACTCTTTCATTATGATTTGTGAGCTAGTCTATGCTATCTGCGAGTCAGGATGGATTATAATGTGGTCAATCAGCACAATTTATTTTAAAATTCAATTATTTGGGGCATGGGGGTTGAAAGCTCTACCGGCCCCCCTCTATAATTAGTGTTGGGGGGCTGCTTCCTATGTCCACACCGTGGTCACTAACCCCACCCCCTGCATGCTTTGTACACTTGTTAAAATATTGGTACAATTATAGATGACCCCTGGCCCTAAAATTGTGTACCTATTTAATTGGAGGAGGTAATGTGGTTTTAATTTTCTTCAGTGGCAGGCAAGTCATGAAGGAGTTCTAACAAGCTGTAATTATTCAAGTGATGGCAAGTACATTGTAAGTGGTGGTGATATGGATTTCTCTATCAGTATATGGGATGCCAAGGATGGAGTCCTCATAAGAAAACTAAAATGTAGGTTTAAAAGAGATAAAATTGGGAGTGGTTGTGGGGTGCAAATATATAGACCCTCTGGCACAATCCAACAGGTCTAAAATATTAACACCTTTTTGGATAGATAATACAAATACCATAACAAGCTGCAAGTTTTCACAAAATCAACATCGAATCACAGTGACCTCCATGGACCGAACAACCAGAGTGATTGATATGTCAATGTACAAGGATGAATACACAGCCAGTTTGACCCTCAGGTATGAGCAAATCAGGAATTTCATTTTGGTACACATAAACTCCTACTCAAATTGAGAATCAACCCAATAACCCACAATGCGCCCTACTTATTTTTTTACTTGTCCAATGCCAGACGACTTTACTCGTCAATGGGGAAGCTCTGCAGCTTAATAGGTTAAGCCACAATGCACCACATTTTGTTAGCTTAGGGCCGCTTTCCAGTTGAGTGTTTTTCATAGGTGCATGCAAGGAGGATATGGCTATCAATACAATTACATTAAATGAATCCTACTTCCTTTTTCTTGAGTGGAAATGGCCCTAATTACATGCGTTCAACTCAATAATAGTCAAAGTCCAACATCGCAATCACAAAAATAAGGCTCAATCTATAGCCAAGGTGACATACTTTCCAAAAGGGTGTATTGGTGCATTAATGTTTTAATTATATAGAGGGCATGGCAACGTCATATCAGATGCATCATTTTCAAATGATGAAAGAATATTGGCGACAGCTTCGTGGGACAAGAACATTCAGTTATGGGATGTCTCATCAGGAACATACAGGTAAATTGTACTGTGGTTAATTAAACAGTATATTTTGCACAGGTGAAGTTAGTTCTTGTGCATTATGCTTGATATGGCCCTAAGGGTTGTTGCTTTTATAGTACTTTTCAATCTTACATTTCAGAAAAACGGGACCAGTCACACTCAAAAAAGGTCATGAAGGCTCTGTCAGTTCTTGCTGTTTCAGTACAGATGGTATGTCTTTGGCATAGATACCCATGTAGGCATAAATTGTTTTAAAATTTGATGCACTTTTCCATTCCAGATAAAATGTTAGTGTCATCATCATTTGATCAAAATCTTGTGGTTTGGGATGTTGCAAATTCAGTCCAGAAGTTCTCACTTAAGGTATTTAGTTGTCGTATTCACCAAGGAGAGATAGAGAGTAGTAATGGCCACACCTTAGTGGTTCAAACCATTGATCTATTTTTTATTTTTTGTGTTGGTTCCAGGGTCACAATGGTTGGGTAAATGATGCTGCATTTAGTAAAGATCAGAAGTGGGTTCTTTCGTGTTCACAGGTTTGTTTTATCAATGATGAAGCAGAAATATTAATTGTACCTGTGCACGAGAATGAGATTTACAGTATACCTTTACATATGTATACAGATTGTCTACAAGTCTGATTTATCACAGGGTGTTAGCCAGAAGTAAAAAAATCAGCGTTTAATTGCAATTGGGAAAAAGTAATTGAATATTTATAATAGAACTATTTTTTGGCTGACCTAAATTGGGAAATTGCGACCTGAAGGTAATTGGGAAAACCGCATTTAACACAGAATTTTTGACTGTAGCTAACACCCTGTATTGGTACAGTATATCTAATAATTTACTTGGGGCTAAAAGAAATCTGTATGTTTTAAATTTGATTTTCATATAGGATAAAACTATCCGACTATGGAACATTAAAAATCTGGATGATCTGCCAGTTGTTTTGGAACATAAGAAGAACATGGGATTGAGAATAATTGAGGTTTGTCCTGTGGCTATTAAGTGTCAGAGTATTTCTATTTGTCTCTTTCTCTTGTTATCTTTACACTGCATATTTTCCTCTTAAATATAGTGTCAAAAATGTGAGAAGCAATTTTCTATCACTCAAGTTGACAATGCTGAGAAGAAGAAACTCTGTGTGTTTTGCAGACTCAAGACAAGAACTTTGCCATGATTGAAAGGACCTGATATTCTTGAAAAGCACCATGACTGTATTACCCTGTCTCAGTGCGTACCCAACCTTGTACCAACCGAAGGCTCTTGTCATAGAGGAAAGAGCCTGGGTATGATGACATTGCATACCTTGTCTGTTGGTCCAAGTTGGAATACTGTTGGGATACAGTCTGTTGGTCAAATGTTGGTTGCTGACAAAATATGTACTAGGCAAAGTTCTAGTTATACCTAGACATTTTGTTGCTTCCATCTCACAATTTACATTGTCATCGCCCTGTTCCAGTTTTCATGATGTGTTCATTCACTAGAATCACATTGTTGGATTCTGGTCTTATCTTGGTGGACAACCAAAAAATGATTTGACTGTTTGTGCACAAGCATCACCAACAACCTTTGAAATGTCCTAGAAAAATCAAAATAAAAAATACTTAGACAACTAGATCTGTTTAATTTATTATCTGTTTATGTGCTTATCTTAATTATAGACCCCTCATTTAGCTTCAGAAATTCCAGTCACAGAAATGACATCAAGAAGGCTCATCAATAAGATGAATATACAAGAATATTTAAACCCATCTGTATTATGAAAGTGGTCTACTGTTGTGAAAAATATTTATTTTTAATGTAGTAAATGTACAGTACAGTATTTTATTAAAACAATTATTTTTAGGCAGACACCATTAGCATATTATACAATTTGAAAATATGCAGCGATCTTACTACATATCCAGAGAAAGTGTTGCATTTAGAATAGCTTGGTCTATATTGACAATCCAATGGCTTTTATTAGTGCTGTGCGGTTAACCGAAAAGTTCGGTTCTTCCGGTACTTTTTTCAGCACCGAAAAACTATACGCAAAAAACCAGTAGTTTCGGTTTTAATTTCCCATTTAACGCCCGCCAAACGCCCACCTGATTGCAGGTTGAAATGTTTGGAAAATAACAAGATTGTGCTCTTTGTGCACAATATGCACTGTACTAATTAGTGCTCAAATAGTTGATATTTTAGTTGCGATAGTTATTTTTGTGAACTTGCTTTAAATTTTTTTAAAAACTAAGAAATATTACATCTTCATATTTAAATTCCAATTGTTCTTTTAAAATATTCAGAGATTTATACAAACTTACAAAGGCATAAATTCATCTATTTAGTAAAAATGCTCGAAACATACATAAATGAGTTCATACATTTGTACTTTTCTTCTTTTTTGAAAATAACCGAAACCGAACCGAGGTTTTTTGTTCCAAAAACCCCGGGACCAAGATAAAATTTTTGGAACCGCACAGCTCTAGCATTTATAATCATGCAGTCTTTTACGCAAAAAGACAGGTTGAGATGCACTTCAAGTCAACTTGGAGACGAAAAGACAGGTCAAGACGATTTTCAAGGGTATAAATACCAAGTACATATAATGAACATGTTTGTGTTTGGCTAGTTTAACACAAGGTTGTCATTTACCTGTTTTGAAGCCTGGCTCAAATCTTTTAAATCTAGAAATTAAGAGGTAAGACATTATAATTTAGCATTGTTAGTGAGAAAACTATAACAATTAAGACAAACTTTTCTGAATTTACTGGGCACAATACTAGAACCAATCTTATCTAGACTCACTACCAAATCGTTGTAGCAAAGCAAGAGCTTTCTTTTCTCCTAGTCCAGGAACAGTTTGTAAAGTGAAGAGGAGAGCTTGATCTATTGGTTTCTGTGATTTCTTGATTAAAAATGGATTACTTCTTGGATTACCACTTAGATTAACCTTCAAATGGAAAAAAAAATAAACATGGCTAGGCTAGTTTGGTAATACCAAACACCAAACACATCCCCTTAACACAACTGTTGCACAGACTGTAATTGAACACATTTTACTGGATCCATCAGCAGTTCTGAACTGTTCTCCTGAAAGGCTTAGAGAGGTCTATCCCTTAATTGAAGCCCTCTTCTCCCATGCATTACACAAGCAAAGACTATGACAACTGCATATTGCACAAATTAAACCACTGTAATTGACAACAACATGTACCATTTGTATAAGAAATTTAGCGACTTCCTCTTGCGAGCTGACAGGATAGAGATTTAGACCAACATTGATAGCTGTGAATTTCTGAAGTTCTTCACAATACTGTTCAGTCATTGCTGTCTTTTCATAAAGCACAAGTCCTCGAATGGTTTGGATCTAAAATGGTATGAAGTAGATTAGACGCCCAGCCATAACATCCCTAAATGTGAGCTAGTAAGTGATTTTGGTTATGAATGCATGCAACTACCATCAACCACTCTATCTTTTTCGCCAGTCGCATCCAATCATAAAGCCAGGAATAGTAATTGAACCTTACCTTAGCTAATTTTACAATTCTCTGTCTGTAGCTAGTTCCACCAATCAACTCTGATTCATTCAAAAACAAAACACCAACATCACCCAAAGGCCGAAAATCCATAAAACCAAGGTTTTCAAACATGACACTTACACTTCCTGTAATAAATGAATGAATAATGAATTAGGTCCAGGCTGCTTTTGCAGTATGTTTTGTGATTGGTTTCCTGAAACAAAAGTGACTAGTATGTTTGATTTGTTCTTTATATGATTTCTGTAGCTTATTGTGTTTCACTGTCATGGTAGGTACCCACTTCTGCAAAAATATTCATTCTCACACACTGCTGAGGGATGCTGCACACGTAAGCACAGCCAGGGGCGTAGGAACGGGGGGGGGG